CTTGTAATAGGGTTGGTAAGCGAACAGCGAACAGCATGGATCCTGATCAGACTGCGCGGATGCGCAGGCTGGTCTGGATCCATGCTGATCGCAAACGCATTATGTTGGTTTTGTCGTGACACGGCTCATATTTGTCTTTAACAGAGCAGCTTGGGTAATCCAGTATGTGCATTTTGGCAATTCCAGCTGTAAGTACATGTATCAGCTTTTGTACTTTTTAGTTTATATGTGTTGACATAATTATTTGTTCAACTTTCGTGTATGTGTTTTATAATTTTGCTTAAGATATGATAATGACAATATGTGCACATAGTGTACAAATTATACAACTACATATATTACTTTATTTTATAAAACCAAGAATGTAATACTGTTTTTGTATACATATAAAATATTGATTCTTTTAATAAAATTGCATGCATTGTTGTGTCCTAGAGAAATAAATTAATATCATCTGAATAGAATAATACATCTTGATGCCCGTTATTCAACTTCTCTAAGAATGGTAGGGCTATAATTCTCGGTCGGGTGTTGGCGCCAGTATCTTTGTCAACTTTACTCGTTCGCTAATTTGCAGCTGCAATTATTCTTGTACCACTTCATACTTCAATAACTACTAAAGGTATTCACTTGAAACTTAAATCATGTCGTTAAGACAATGTTTGGAGGTCGCTATGTTTTGGTTTTCAAATATCAATGTATAATAAAATTGTCATTGTTTTAAAACTGCAGAGGCTCCCAGGGGTATTGGTCTACAGACGGATGTGTTGTTTATTATACATGTGTAAACTATACAATATGTGAATGTGACCACCTTACCAACTTTGCCATCTTGATGAGTCCCTTTACTGAGGTAACGAATGTTTTAGAACATCTCAACTTGGAGAATAAATCATCATTGAAGATATTATTTTATATCGGTTACTTCAACATGGATCATGTAATTAAATGTTTTGTACTTAAAGCGAATTTGAGACCTACAAATATAGCGTTGCGACCAACAGTAAAATGTCTCTATTATTATGTGTAATGTGCTCTAAAATCGTAAAGTGATAAAATCGTGAAAGTTATCAATATTTGAGTCGCTGCGTTTGTAGCAAGGAAAATAGTTTATCAACCATTGGCACAGTTCAACTAAGTCAGCAATGTTCGCTATAGCTTTCTTATTTTTCTCTCACTGTCTCAGATGTTATCTGTTCTTGAGACAAGTATATCAGACTATATATGTTTTTTTTATGAAATACGTGCTGCAGTTTAATAAATCAAGCCATTGTTTACAAATTACACGAGTGTTTATGACTGTTGTAAAATATGTCATTTGGTAGTCTGTTACAATGTCGTAATGTATACTTATCAAGCGTTATCGAGTCGAAACCAACCTTGTTTATTCTAAATATGGGCGAAATCTGCGCAAATGGTTCGCAAAATGTTTGACAGCCTGGCCATTTTTCATAGCTCTAACTTTTATTAAAGACTTTATATTTCAGGGAGATACAGCCTCGCAAGCTTTGAGAATCATCTCTATAATTGGTATAAGTGTGTCAATAACCTGCCTCCTAATTACTTGTGTCGTACATTTCTATCTATGGAGGTAAATATAAGTTATATTTAACACTATACATTAATTAAAATGCTATTATCATGTACTTTTATTGAACTTTATTCAAAGAAAAACATACAATATAAATATTCTGACAATAGGTAGATAAATAATGTAATGTTTTATTCAGTCATACCAATTTATAATTCCGAGAGTGTTAAGTCTTTGCAAGGCCAGTCGGCGCTTCTGTTACTATTATTATATACTGTGTTGGCAGCTCATTTTTTATTTCATTATTGAAATTCCCTAATCTTTAAATAGACTGCTTCAAATTCAAAGACTGGATAAGTATCAAAGTGGTGAACACTATATAAGAGTTGATTATTTGTTGCTGTTGTTTTTATGGGGGTGGTGGGTTGTTTTGTTGTTTTTGTTGTTGCTTTATTTGCATCGTGCTTATTGTAACTGTGTACCATATCTATATCCAACAACCCTAACTTATTTACGCATATATGAAGTGATATTTTCTGTGTTACAGTCAAATTCGGAGCGACAGAACAACAAGATTAATGAGTTTATGTATAGCACTTTTACTATCATATATTATATTTCTGGCAGGGGTTGAGAGGACTGAAAGCAGTGTATGTATCATTGACTTATTAACTTTTGTATGTTAAGATATCATAGGACACCGCTCTTAGAAACATAACTGCTCACTAAAATTGAATAAATATCAAGAAAAAAGCTTTGAAAAGAATTTATATTACCAGGTTCGACTGATGACAAGCGTTAACAGTATTTATTGTATTTCTTCTTATGTAAGAATTTCTTAATTGTTTTTATCATTCTCGGTTTGTTGAATTATGCTTAAGCCGGTGCTAGGGGGCGTGGACGGTAATTTGCCCTTTCCAGTACCGCCCATGAACAGGCTTAATCAAACCATGCCGCAGCATTTTCAATTTTACCGTGTTGGGCTTTTTTTAGGGATGTGTGTGTTTTTAAGTTTATTTTAGCTCGGCGCCGGAAATTCCATATGTCCGAGATCTCAGCGTCCATGCCGGTCCACTCTAGTAGTCTCATCGGGGACGTCTTTTTCATGCCGATCTTCCTAAGTCCTGTTCTTCGTTCGGTGGAGGAAAGAAAATACCGGAAAAGCATCAAGTTCCGTGACGGCTGCAAACAGGCGGTTGACATAAAACGGCTCTTGTTAGCGCCACCCTCCAGAGTTAGTCACGACAGGTCAACCAATCACCTCTGATACTTAAGATGACTTGACATTGACCTGCCGTTTGCTTTCTCCGCGACTTGCACGCCTCTGGAGGGATTTGGAGAAGTTCTTTAGGGATTCTGCTTTTCTCTATTTTATACCAAAAGTTATTTTTCTAAAAAAATAATGATAGTTTTGTTGTCTATAATTTGAGCATCTCTTCTCTTTTACAGACTGTATGTACCGTGATAGCTGCAGTATTACAGTATATATATCTGGTTGTATTTTGTGTCATGTTGGTGGAAGGTTTAGAGATGGCGGTCAAACTTCTTGTTGTATTTGAAACAAGGTCCAGAACCAAACTCCTACTTGCTCTAGCCTGGGGTATGATAACCATATTCTTCAGAGATAGAACTGTTAGTATGAAATATTGGGACCTGAAAATTGTACAACATGTTAAAACAATTAATTTTATGTGCATTACATCAATGATTCTAATCGCTTTCATGTTCTTCTGCTTGAAACAAATATGTTCATTACATCAACTTTGAAGGACATATGTAATTATATGTTTCGTTGAAAAAAAGTAAATTCGATAAATTTGTTGTTTCTTTTTATCAAAACTATATACATGTATATTTATGCTACTGTTAGAGGTTTGATTTTATTTATCTTTATTTACAGTTATTCCTGCCGTAATTGTTGGGATATCGCTCGGGATAACTAAATTAGAAGAATACGGAAACGAGAATTTGTAAGTACATGCAACTAGATAGTATGTTGCTATAACTACAGCATATTTCTGACTATCTGTTACATCAATTTGAAAAATCCATGGTACTGTATTCAATATGATCACATTAGAGGTTTTAAACTTGATATAATGTTCATGGCCACACAGTTTATGTGCTATTTGCAATAATTATCGCAATGCACTTGTAAACAGGTGATTTTGACTGAGGACATAAAAGGGAAAATTATTTAAATTTGATTTAAGATTATACGTTATATGTTTATGAAGTTTTTATATATGTAAGGGTATTTTGACTATTGAATCCATTGTTTGCATTTAATGGGTATTAAATATTTATATAGATTATATATATATAAATTGATATTTACAGGAATATATTATGCTTTTTCTCCTCCATAGTTGCTGGTTGTCAGTGAGTAATGGTATAATATGGGCCTTTGTCGGACCAGCTCTAGTTATAATTTTTGTGAGTATGTTTTGTATAAGATTTTTTCTAGTCATTGTTAGTACTTTACTTATTGTAAATGTTTAATTAAGTTAAATTTAATTTTGTTTTATTGTTGTTGTTGTTGTTGTTATTATTATTATTATTATTATTATTATGATTATTGTTGTGGTTGTTCTTTTGTTGTTGTTTCTAAGTAAGTGGATTTCGGTTGTTGATGCAGTATGGTTTTTTTTTCTTTTTTGTTGTTTTATTTGTTTCATATATAGTAAATATAGATTAAGATGAAATTTGAATCACACGTGAATTGACATAATATAGTGTTTTTGTTGTTTTTCAGTTAAATGTCATATGTTTAATTATTGTATTACGTGCAATGTTTCAATCAACTACTGTGAAAAGTAAAAAGGTCACAGAGAAAATAAGGTACATTAATAATAGTTACTTCTCTTTTTTGTTATTGTACCCTCATAGTACATTACCGTTACTCAATAATTTCGTTTGGGAAACTTCCAGGGGAAAAATTCATAACATAAAACAGTTAAATAACAACAGTTAACCCATAAAAGAAACCATCAGTCAAGAATGAACATGGAGGAAAACCTTCAGCAATTAATAGGAATGAATTTGAACCACTTCCATTTACTTACAAGAACCGATGTCTTATAAAAAATGCCTGTTTCCCCATTGGTCATCGACTTATTTTGATCATATTTCATGTGTTTTACCTAATCAGTTTATTGTAGTTATTGGCTATTGTTTCTTACACTTCAGTTAATAAATGAGCCGTGTCATGACACCAACATAATGTGTTTGCGACCAGCATGGATCCAGACCAGCCTGCGCATCCGCACAGTCTGATCAGGATCCATGCTGTTCGCTTACAAACCCTATAACAAGTAGAGAAACTGATAGCGAACAGCATGGATCCTGATCAGACTGCGCGGATGCGCAGGCTGGTCTGGATCCATGCTGGTCGCAAACCCATTATGTTGGTTTTGTCGTGACGCGGCTCAATTAATATTTTGTAACAATTTGTTTTACAGAACTAGTATATGGTCATTTTGTGTTTTGATTCCCATCATGGGATTATCATGGTTACTGGGGATATTCAATGTGAACGAGAGCTTCTATTTTATACAGTATTTATTTGCGATATTAAATGGATTACAGGTAATATATATTTAGTACAGTTTAGCCTATTAATCATCAGTATTACTTTGATATTGGTTTATATTACATAACATTTTACATTAATTTAGTTTACTATTTTACCGTGCCCATCGCCGTATGAGCATATCTGCTGGTGTAACTGAATTCAAAGTTTCACCATTATGTTCACCTATATGTTTAAATGTTGATTTCTGCTGATGCCTTTGATAGGGAGGCCTTCCGCTGAAGCCGGTGCTAGGGAGCCTGTTTGGAAGCTTTATAATACCAGTAATGTGCATGTACAGGCGCTATCAAATTGGGCTTGCAAAACTTTCAATTTTACTGATTTGAGCGTTATGGGCGATTCCATTTTGTATTTTTTTTACATGTGATATATGCATGTATATAACTATCTTTTGCTAAAGTTTATATATTCGAAACTTAACAAAGTAAGAAAGTTGTATGATATTTGTAATCCACAGGGCTTTTGCATATTCCTGTTTCACTGTCTACTCAACAAAAAGGTGAGAATTTATGATTTTAATGACTAGCTTGTCTACGCATTAAAATTTGATCGCTCAAATACGAGTTTAAAGCAAAAAAAACACGATTTTCTTGTCATTTACTTAATAATTTCTTAATTATTTATTCAGGGCAGTTTCAGAGTATTTTGGTGATTTTATACTCAAGGAGCAATGTTACTTTTAGGTAGATCAGGATAAACTATTCAGCTTTGCAACAAACGGAGTGTAAAACCAAATCCGACCTTTAGAAATAGAATAGTACCTAATACAATGATAAATAATAACATGATAATATCATTATGAAAAAAAATGGAAAATTTCAATATGTAAAACATGTGCTCTCCATGAAATAGTCACAAAAATAAATTACGGAATTGCTCTCTTTTTCAGGTGAGAAATGCGTACAAGTTTCGTGCGAGGAAAAGGCCTTCAACATATTTTTCCACGGTATATGAATTTTAACTGCCAAAAACGGAAGGTTTAATAGTTTATATAAAACATATGGCTGACGGGGTGACAGGGGATATTTTCAACCCAAGAAATTGTATATAGTACCCGGAGGCGCATACTATCACCTCGGCAGTCATGCGTTATCGATTTCATTATATACAAAAAAAATTATAAACTACAATATAAGTTATTTACGCAGCCAAAAGCAATGCTTGCAAACTACAGTACGTGTGAGTTTACTCTAACAATACTGAATACGGAGATATGTGAAAAATATGTGTATGGAATATCACTTTACGAAGATGATAGTCGATCACAACACATATCAGGTTTATGGGAGTTTTACATTGAATGGTACTTTGAGGTATGATAATATACAATTATTGACTAGTGAGCCATTGAATATGATGTGATATTCACCGGCAGATGACATATTGACCGAGGCGATAGCCGAGGTCAATATGACTTTCTGCCGGTGAATATCACATCATATTCAATGGCTCACTCGTCAATAATTGTTTTATTATATGAATAGGCTAAGAATTAAAAAAAAATCACGAAAAAGTACAACCTTATATACATGTACAAATTTTGCCTCGTTGAAGCGCGGGAAAAAAGACGCACGTGTTAGGCGTGCAACGACTACGAGAACGCTGCGCATACAAAAGTAATTCAAGTTTATACTCATCGATGCGGTTTAGCCTCTAAGTATAACAGTAAAGTAATGATATTTCAATCGAGAAATATGCCATAAAGAACAAAACGCAACAATTATTTTTTAATTAACACACGTAATTAACAGTCTACGGTGTATGGTCATTGAATATGAGTCTCAATCTATATTTAGACTTGGAAAATCCAATTCAGCCAGTTAATATGATACTACACCCAGTGAATATGATTTTATAAAAAGTTATGTTGACTACAGTTTGGACCAATGAGATTGCAGCTATTTTTAGATCATATAATAATATATAATAATCACTGATATTCGTAATCAAATAAATTTATTACGTGGACTTTTCATAAAATATTTAATTATTTTTGCATCTATTAAATGTTTCAGGACCATACATCAAAAGGTGAACGTAATACGAAATCAAAGGGTATGTTAAATCATAAATCAAAGGGTATGTTAAATCATAAATCTATAAATACTTACTTTACTTATCCGGGTGTTTGGGGGCGTGTGAGATGTTGCTCTTTCCATTATCCCTGTTAACATACTCAGTCAAACTAAATCTGCAATTTTCATATCATATATGTTGTTTTCTTATATTTTTGGGAATAATCCCTTTTCTAAATTTTAATACCTGTTTAATTAATAAAATTATTGTTGTCAAGTGTAAAGTTAAAATCAAGTGACTTTTACTTTTTCTCACCCTCGACAGTTACTAGTCTTGAACACTAACTTTCCACAAATTACTTTTTAATAAAATATACATAAATGGTTCTAACACCTGTAGTAACGGGTAGAAATTTGGTTATACAAATAGTTTATTATGATGTTATTTCTACAGATCTACTTTGATCACCAGGAGCATGCCGTTCTATACAAAAATATATAACGATGATATTTAATGTCGAGAAACTACAATGAACCCATTCTCACTATTGCGTAAATGTATCAGTTCCATATACATGTAAATTATCTAGATCAAAGGCACTCAGAAAGTTGTTTTTGTCAATGTTTTGATGATATTTCGATTAAGTTTTTGAGACTGAATGACCCAAGGCAATGTTTTTTACCAACGCTTTCTAATAATGTCTATTTGTCCTTTCCCGGATATATACATATACATATCAAACATTTTTATATTCAAGAAAAGGATTAGAACGGAAGGCTGATTTGTAAAATTCTTCTGTTTAATAAGAATATTACAAGAAAGTAACGAATAAAGTTTACAAAAAAATCATTGTATCGTAGCAAATTAATAAAATTCAATGTTCAGATATTCGTGTGGTTGAATAATAAAGATTGCATCTCAGATATAAAAGTGTAGGATTGATTTTGTATTTTTTGCTATTTCATACTAGTCAAAACTTAATAAATACAGATGCAATGTATTATAATATTTTAGATACAAGTGGTTCTTTCAACAATGCAACCACTGAAACACGTGACATCGGACACGATCGGGAATTAAAGGTATATAATATAGAGTAAAACAACATAAAAAATATATAGACATACACAATGTAATCAGTTTCATCATTTTCTTCCATAAAAATGAACATAAATTGAATCGGTATCTCAAAAGGTTGAACAAGTCCAATTGTCTTTCCTTGCTTTCAAAATTGAACTCGGCAGAGATGGGTCCGATTTTGTAAATAAATTTCTTATGTCCTGAAAGTGGCAGACTATTTATACTTATTAATAGAAAATCCTGAGGTTGGAGCTGGAGCTCAGAAGAGAGTTAAATAACCTCAAGGACAGGTGTCATTTGAGTAAACATGATCCCAGAGAGTTATATAACCTCGATGACAGGTGTCATTTGAAAAACATGATCCTAGAGAGTTATTAAACCTCGAGGACAGGTGTCATTTGAGGAAACATGATCCCAGAGAGTTATATAACCTCGAGGACAGGTGTCATTTGAGGAAACATTATCCCAGAGAGTTATATAACCTCGAGGACAGGTGTCATTTGAGGAAACATGTTCCCAGAGAGTTATATAACCTCGAGGACAGGTGTCATTTGAGGAAACATGATCCCAAACTTGTTTCTCGGATACACAAAAATTGGATTGAGAGGCAGATACCTTGAATACTAGACCAATGATCCCAATGATTTTGTCAACTTTTTTTACTTAGATTTATAATTGTTGATAACAGTAAACTTGTGAGCACCCTGAGAGAAAAAATGACATTTTAAAGATATATACCGTATTGAGGTCAATTGTATATAATTAGTTGAAGCATTGTCAGTTTATAAAAAAAGTGCCATGTTAACAATTTAAAATTATTTAAAATTATAGTGATTCCAAAACTTACAATTGTTATTCAGTACAACAGCTACCCATACTTTAATGCATTATAAACTCGTATATGATTTTCTCTCAATTACAGATACCGCAGGAATCTTTCCCTTACAATCCAGGGCAGGATGGATCCTTAGCAGAAATGTTAAATACTGGAACTATGAGAAGATCTGCATCGTTTAGTACTGAACCACGTGGCAATCTCACCAGTTATAGCTTGCTTACATAGTTATGATAATGAAATGTATGTTATGGCGAGGAATGACAGTACAAAGCAAATGACGTTGATGATTGGACTACGAATGGCGAATTTATGACATTTTATTTTTCGTGAAAAAACTTAGTCAAAAAAACTGAAGTAACACTTTCTAATTAAGATATTGTTCAAGATTTACATCTGCGCATGGATTTGGTCGACAATTTTGTTACACATATCTAATGTTCTTTTATTATTTTTGAATTATTTTTCAACGTAAATAAGAAAAACAAATGTGTACTTGTTTTAATAATAAATGTTGCTTTCTTTTATTACATTCTGTTACAAAATTAGAGTTTTGTGGGGAAAAAACTCATTCACGAAAAAATAACTTCCAGTAATATTTAAAATATGTTATAAAAAATTCATGTTCTATTTTTGAGGGAAAAAAATGTGAAATTGTATTAGGATGACATCATAATGTACAGTAATATTATGTTCAGTATAATACGCTTATAACGTAAAATAAATACTTTGGCAGAATTTATTACAGATTTTGCAAGCATAATTTGTTGCCAAATCATGTTGTCTTGATCTTTTGTCATGACCTTCTCGTCGTTGTTGACGTTGATCATAACCATTTTGTTGACGTTTATTTCTTAATCTTCGAAAACATTTCAAGAGGACAAGAAACACACATAAAGATTTTTGTATAGTATTGTTCCTTTAACAACTATGAAAACTTTAATGGTTTTAAGCCATTCATTTTCCAAATTTAATCTAAGAGGTTTAATTTAACTGGACACTGCTGCTTATGTGATATCGTTTCTAGATATCTATTTTATCATATGAAGGTAGACCACTCTTACCGGAAAATAGAAGTGATTTAAAACATCTTATGTACCTTACATCATATTTACTTGGGAAGGTATAGCCTACTAAACCTTGTAATACGTTTTATTTGTCATCCAATTTAAATGAAACGAAGGTATTGTTACAACAAAAGAAAATACTGAGTATCTTATCTTTACATTCAGAAATATATATGCTCACATTACTAAAATAAATCTTAAACAAAATGGTATCCGAATAGCGCTTTTATATCATTTATTCGTACTGTCAAGAAATAATGACAATTTGCCAAATACAAATATAAGTTACTGGGATATGTATTCTCTAATCTTTGTGTATAATAAACGGGTTAACCAATTAAAAGTAATTGAAATTTAAAATCGTATTCAGATAATACTTTAAATATTGTGTTTTAATTTCTGATGCAAAATATCATCTGCTCTTATTTGGCATGATATTAAAGAGTTACTTTTATTATCATAGTTCTGTATTCCCGTAGCGGTTTGAGGTTATAGCAAATGTCTTGGACATGAGAATTTATAAATCGTGAATTTGGAAAGTCTTGTATTGGCTAGTGAATTTGGTGTTATTTTCAGAAATGTATACACTTTTTATACTGAAAGAACATTTCGCCGGTACAAAAAACGACCATGCCATGCGGAAATATCGAGGACATATTGCTTGGATGAGGACTTTTGCCCTTATAACGTGCAAAGAAGACCCTTCATGCTGATACAAAAACAAATTTGCAAAAGAATCAGACAAATGGTGTTTTCACGTTTGGCTCGAGAAAATGGCCTCTGTTACGAAAATTTATACATTTTATATACAGGAAGAATTAATTGCCGGTACAAAAGAAAAACGGCCATGCCACTTTATATACAGAAAGAACAAATCGCCAGTACAACAAAACGACCATGGCACACAAAATCTCGCAAACATATTGATTGGGTTAAGGCTTTCGCCCTTATATTGTGCAAAAGAACCTCCAAGAAGATACAAAAACGAATCTGCAAAAGAATCAGAAAAAACGGTGTTTTCACGGTTGGGTCAAGAAAATGTTTCTTTTACGACAATTTATACACTTGATATACAGAATGAACAAATTGTCAATAAAAATCGACCATGCCATGCGAAAATCCCGCGGGCATATTGCTTAAATTAGGGCTTTTGGCCTTATATTTCGCAAAGAAAACCCTCCAATCTGATACAAAAACGAATCTGCAAGAGAATCGGACAAAATGGTAAGAGATGGCCCCTAAAACTACCTAAAAATTGAGAAATTTTTCTAAAAATGTGATATTTCATTGAGAATGACATGTCTGCCACATCAAAATGATCTTATTATATAGAGTTTACCAACCATTTTTTCGCAAAATGACCCAAATATAATTACCCCCAGTACCCTGAACTTTTCTGCTAATCGCGTACAGGACTGACATGCAAAAATTATTAAAAATTATGCTAAAGACTTACGAAACAGTTCATTTTCTTCAGAATACAATGCAGTGTTTGTTTCTTATATAATTTCCATACATGTTAACATCATCACCTGATTTCCCTTATAACACCTCGTCTCCAAAAACAACAACAATCAATAACAAATTTAAATTTAGTGTTTAATTTGTTCAGAGCGCTTGAGAGAGCAAAGATCACCATCATGGCGCAGAGAAACCTGATCTGTAATTCCCGTTGTAGCCACGAAAATAAGTTGACCTTGAAGACTGACCCTGATCTGGAATTCGAGCGGCACGACCTCCGACGAAACTGCTTCCCGGAAAGAAATTATTTCTGTAACTGCCAACAGCCCCAGAAGAAAAAGAAGAAGTCTTACTTTTATGCTTGAGTTTTTGCTTTTTAATAGCCCGGCCCCGTGTTCACAAAGATTTAAGGATCAGGATCAAGATCAGGATCAAATACAAAAACTCAAACATTCTCCATACTTTATCATCATAGATTAAATATTCCATATTAACTTGATAAAACTGGACCTGAAATAGCATGTTTATGAAATTTTAGAATAAATTTATTGTTATTTTTACAAGATACGGGCATTTTACAGTTGATCCTGATCCTGATCTTTTCTTTGTGAACACGGGGCCCGGTTCTCAGCTTTGGATATTTTTGACTCGTCCTCGGAGTCACTAGCAATCGGATTGGACTCATATTGACGAACTGTATCCCAACCCGCCTCCGACGAATCTGCAATTCTAATGAGTTTGTTACGTTTTCTAAGTTTCTCGGCCGCTTCTTGAAGTAACTCTTTGGCATACTCAACTTTCCCGTGCTCGAGTGCCCACTGAACTTGATTGTTTATATCTTCTAAGGTAGAATTAAATTCAAATTGAATTCGGTTACCTATGTGTGTCCATTTAATTTCTTTTTCCGACTTGAATTTCTTCACCTCGCTAGAAACGTTGAAAGAATTGCCCTGTACTTCTTCTTTCAAAGCTTTCACCTCTTCTTTTTGACTGCGTATCTCATTTAACAGCAAATCTAACTGTGAATGTATAGCCACGTTGTCATTTTCCTCGCACATGTTTCAATGTAAATTTACGTGTTAACTGGTAGGCTCTCTCAACGCTGAATGACTACTATAACCCGCCAAACTGAAAATCCCGTGCAAAATCATACTCCCCCTAGCGGAGACTTATCAATATACAAGGGAAAATAATTCTCTACTAATTCATACTTCAAACGTAGAAAATTATATGTCCCATCGAATCGTATGGTTTTCCCTTCACCATGTTATACAATGCAGTAATCTGATCTTATAGCACGTTTCAGTCAATAAAATTCTTCTCTTTTTTTCCTTTTTATACTCGTAACTTCAAAAAGTGTTGTTAGCATTATTAGTAAACAAAGAACTCTTTACAAGTTTTCAGTATATATTTGCATAAGACTGGATTCCAAAACGGTATTTATTGGGAATTTATTGTATTTTCTAATTTGATTAGTATTCACACGTGGGATATCTATCTACAATCTACAATTACTTTTTAGCTCACCTGTCACAGAGTGACATGGTAAGCTTTTGTGATCGCTTTTCGTCCGGCGTCCGTCCGTCGTCCGTCCGTCCGTAACCTTTTACTTTAAACGACATCTCCGCATAAACCGCTAAGCTAATTTCATCCAAACTTCACAGTCATGTTCTTTTGGTAGTCAGCTTTAAAAATTGTTCAAAGAATTTTAATTCCAAGCAGAGCTCTGGTTGCCATGACAACCGAAAAAAAACCTTAAAATATCTTCTTTCAGAAAACTGAAAGAGCTAGAGCTTAAATATTCGGCATGAAACATCAGTGCTTTAGATATAAAGCATGAAACATCTTCTAGTGGGTGTCTACCAAGTTTGTTCAAATAAAAGCCCTGGGGTAAAAATTGGCCCAGCCCCAGGGGGTCATTGTTTTTCTCTTTATGTATATAGTAAAACTCTTCTTTTAAAACCCCAAAGAGCTAAAGCTAGGATATTTAGCATGAAACATCTTTTAATGGGTGTCTACCAAGTCTATTCAAATAAGGGTCCTTGGGTTAAAATTGACCCCGCCACGGGGGTCATTGATTTTCCTTATATGTGTATAGAAAAATATTCTTATAAAAAACCCAAAGAGCTAGAGTTTAGATACTAAGCATGAAATATCTTCAAGTGAGTGTCTACCAAGTTTGTTCAAATAAAAGCCCTGTGGTCAAAATTGGCCTTTTATGAGTGGTCATTGTTTTTCCCTATATATATATATATATATTTATATATATATATATATATATATATATATATATATATATATATATATATATATATATATATATATATATATATATATATATATATATATAAGCCCCTGGTTTAAAATTGGCCTTGGCCCAGGGGCCTATATACAGGTGAGCGATTTCAGGGCCATCATGACCCTCTTATTTTATTTACTACTCGTTGTGAATTCTATAAACTTTTTCTTTATAACACAAACACTAATCAAATCGATAAAAAATCTACCGATAAAAAGTATTATTTTTTATCAGCTTAAAGACCGACGGAAATAAATCGATAGCGCTGCAGAAAAAAATTCTAAATCACGTAGTTTTTTGTTTTGTTTTTGTTTTTTTTTTCTTGTTTTTGTTGTTGTTGTTCTTGTTGTTGGCGTTGTTTGTCCTTTTTTAATGGGGAGGGGGTCATGAAAAGACATTTTATATTTCATCTTTATAATGTTTATTGTAATCTTTGTGTAAAAAAAAATGAAATCAGAAAAAATGCATATACTAGTACTTGGCCGGAAACCTTTATGATACTGTTTTTGACAGGCAGATATAGAAGGATGTATTAAAGGGTATAATTATTTGAAAATTTGAAATGCCATATGTACAGTAGAATCCCTACTTAGGACCACCCCGGGATTAAGACCACTCCTCTATTAAGAATATTTTTAAGAGACGAACTTTTCTGTTCTTTATGTGAATGGTTACGTGATCCAGAATTAAGACCACACCGTTGTTATATCTGCTTGAATGCTCTTAGGCTCATAAAGTGTCAAAACTGTTATTATTGAGATTGTGTGAAATAAGGTGTGAAAGTGAATTTTCGAGTCACTGTGGTATACCGATGATTTCAGTAAATTTATTTTGTGAAAATTTAATTTCTAATATGATAGGTGAATTATGTACATCTTATAATAATTGATAATTGAAATCAGACCAAAGAAAAAATTAATATCATATCAGGAATATAATTTGCTCTCATCAGATTAAATATAACATATTTTTATATTGTGTTTGTAGGTTAGGAAACATGGTTATAAAGTATGTAAGCAATGATAAGAATGTCCACAATTGAGACAACCCCGCAATTAAGACCACTGTGGTCGAGTCCCGATGGTGGTCTTAATTTAGGGTTTTTTATTGTCATTTTACTCATGTAATACTTCTTTCATTAGAAATCTCAAAGCAAACAACATTTCGTTATTTGGAGATAATTCAAAACATGTCTTTAAAGAGGGAATTTTAGGGTATATTTTAATAAAAACAAGCTCACAACAAACTACATGTACATGT